GCATTTTCTGTCTCGTTTTTGTATAAAATCTGAAGTTGTAGCGCATTGTTTGGATATTATATTTCTTATTTATGTTTTCTAAATTAATTAATTCAATCTGGTAAAAAGCGAATTAAATTAAGATTTCATTAAATTAACCTTTATTATTTTAATCTCTTCCTATTTATTTGATCACTGCTAGATAATACGCAACGTGTTTTCTGTTAATCAATATTGCAAGAGGGCTGACATATGAGTCAGTGAAGTCTGGATTATGTTGGTACAACATTTCGACTTTATCTTCCATTTTAAGTTTATTTCTTAGTAGAAGTTAATGTGTTCACAAAACTGTTGGCATTGGCTTACACTTAAGCTTTTATTAAAGATACAAAGAAGGATGTTTGATCTGAATTTGATAAGATGTCAAAGGATGCTGGACAGATATATTTAACATTGGTCAATTTGTGCATTGCTTCATTACTGTTAATATCCCGATAAAATTAATCATGTTATGATGAAATAATTCAGTAGTCTGCAAGGCATCATAATTGTTTAATACAATTTCTGTAGAGGAAATGACTTGTTGTAATACTTCGGTCATATTTCTGTTAATCAAATAAAAAAATATAACGCCACTTCACGTTTGTAATAACAGAAACTTCGGAGGAATAATGACTTCGAATGGTTCATCGAGAGAATTTAGTTTCAATGCAGTAAAACTTATAAAACTTATTCAGTTTGAAATTTGATATGATTGGAAAGAAATAGTGAAACTAACTTTTAGTGTTGTTTCATTCTTCTCCGTTTTATACAATTCCATAATTAAGCATGCCGAATACGGCACTAGTAAACCGTTGCTTATGTTCAGTGCATGCTGCAGTGATAATAATGTCGAGTCATGCTGAAATTATTATGAAAATTATCGTAGAATCAATCATTATTACAGTAAATGATACGGAAAACAAGTGCGTTTTTGGCAAGCTTTGCTATATTTTTTTATTCGCGAATATTATTCAAATTGAACGATTTGCATCCATGAGTAGGACATTTCACCCAGTACTAGAAAATGCTTAAAATTATGAGGAAGAATTTACCGCAGAGTAAAGAAACATTTTACGTGCTTCTACTTTAGTCCCAACGGAAACATTGTGAAACCGATGCAGTATATCTCCAAGCAACAAGCCACCTTTAAATTTTGCCTTTTCAAAAGTATTATACTTTGAAATTTGATTGATACGCTTGAATTCCGTAATTATGTCAATAGTACTCATATTCTGGAACTGTGGCCATTTTTGGTAAACCCATTCCGGCTGCGGAAGTTGGTGCAATATCTATAATTCCTGATAAAATGGAAGGTGCAATCAAATCATGAAAAAAATATTGTAATATGATAAAGATTTGCTTTAAAAAACCTTTTCTCTATCTTTTCACTTAAAAGTTGTAAAATAAACTAGCCAAAATGAAGACAATTTTTCATTTTCTTCAAAGAGTTGTCTCTAAAAGAAAAAAAAAGTGAAAATGAAAATCGCTTATTCATCCAGAAATGAGTACGACTAATCTAATCTACAGCCAAATGTGTTCTCGAAGTCGCATCACAAAACAAATTATATATGAATTAGAAATATTCATGCATACCTCTCGTTGAATATCAATGAGTGCTGCTGTCCGGTCAAAGTTCAGTTCTTCACCAATTCCGGTTACATTTGCAAGTAGATGAACAACGTCGGCATATTTCTCCATCATCTCATCAGCAATCACAGCTGTTTCATTCTTCATAAGTTGATTATAGTGTGAACAAGCGTGTAGGGTAGAGTGAAGAAGCTGAAATGTTATAGTATTAAATCAAATTGTTCCAGTAATTCTCTATAAGGGAAATTACGAATTGCAGTAATTAAATAGCATAAGGAATGTTCCGGAAAAGCACCAACAGGTGCATTCCGTTCAATGCTTTCGCTATGAAAGGAAATCGGTTGCCATAGCTCATCTTTTAGCCACTGCATTGCAATGTTATCAACCGGAAAGAATCCACGCAACATAGCCTGAGCACTCACGATCGCACGATCTGATCTGGATGTTAAGATTCGTATCTAAAATTGCTGCCATTATATGTGATGATTATTTAAATTTAATCATAATAAGTAATGAGACTATTTTTCTAGCTTATAATTTCTGAAATATTAGAAATTTCACTTTTCATAACATAATTGCATGTTTTTTTGCATTTCGATAATTAAATTTCAAAAATAAAAGAAGTAATGAAAAGGAATTGGTGAAGTGGAACATCACAACGGCAAAATAATTACATCAGCCGGATTGAATTCTTTAATATATCCATTATATCGTTTCCGTAAGAATAGACCCAATTCATACAGTTGTTTTATCCCCATCTATAAAAAGAAATCAGTTAGTGAAATCACATTAGTCAGGTAGCAACAGTAAATCAAAGCTTCATTAATTCAAAATTTTTAGAATAAATTAAAATCTAATTAAAAGTTTGGTAGATAAAAGATTACTAAATGGATAGATTAGGTAGGTCCATTTTGTATATTCGTGAAGAATGTCATAAAAAAGTTCCCAGATAAAGTAACACTCTGCCTACAAAAACTTCCCCAACAATTGAGTTATAATGAAACTAAATTCGAACTCCTGAATAATCCAACTTGTTAAAAAACACTTTGAATTTAAATTCATATTCATAAGCTTAATGGGTATTTGAAGAGATTAATGTCACAGCAACTTATGCTTTTAATTTTAATCCTGAAGTATTTCTAAAATCGAAGCCACTATTTGTTGAAGGGACATTTACTTGCCCAATTTTTTGGAAAAAATTGAATCAAACATTTGTTAGCTGAGACCATCCCCTTGGCCAAGAGCTTTCATCATTCAAATCTCTTGGATAAGGTAAATGATGAGGTGCGCGATCACCATGCCGCCAGATGGCTTGCACATAAATGAGGTGTTCTCCTGCCTTCTCATCTGTTGTTCTCAATACGAATGCATTATTAGACGCGCAATTAAATAGCAGGAGAAATAAATGAGGTAAGGTTAGCATAAAATATCTGAAGATAATAAGGATTATTGAAGTTTCATGAAATGCTCGCTGCAATTTTTGTTTTACAAATTAACGTGCCCTAGTAACGCATAATCAATAATATTATGAGTGAAGTAGGCTCCACGGTGTTGGGGTCCTGTAAACAAATTGAGTGACGTCAGCATTAGTGACATTGTTCTGGTCACTGTACATAAGTTTATAAAATGAAATGAAGAAAAAAAAAAAACAAATATACAGAGCCAATGAATTTTCATTTGAAAACGTTTTGGTACTAGACGCGAGTTCTTACTTAGTTACGAGAGCGCAGTTGTCATACACACATGAAGAATGTATACATGTGTACAGTTGTTAGTTGAACTATTCAAATATGTTTGATCACAGTATGTGCAAGTGTTTTATTCAATAATTGAAACGTTTAACACAGCTTTGAAAAGTTTAAGAATGCGAAATTCATCTAACATAAAACAGTCTTCTATTACAATATTAATTAGACATATAAAAATTATAAGACCTGGTTGATATTGAAAATAGAAATATCAAATTGAAAAACTAAAAGATGAATATGAATATTTGTATTATCGTAACACCAGTTTTGAGTCCCAAGAATTTTTTTTATATTATTGTACTAATGTTTAATTTGTCAGTTCTTGTGATAACTCTTTTATATTTAATTCTCAAATGTAGGGTTGGGCTTAAAGTAGTGAAAAGGAAATGAAAAATAACGAATCTAGTTTCCTCTTCTCTCGTAAAAATTGCTCCCAATCACAAAAATTGTTTTTCTATTTTCAACAACCCTATTTTCATTACTTTCTTCTTTCTTTCTAGATGTTGTCTAATTTTAAATCGTTTATCCCTTGAGAAAAGTAGTTTTTTACGCATGAAATGAGTAATACGTACTGACCTAAATAAACTCAACAAATTATGAGCAGTATTTGATATATTGCCTGCCAATCGTATAACCTTGTGACCTCATCTTTAATACTGCAATACTTCTCAGTGGGAAAGTAGAAATTATGAGGAAATCATTTCCTCCTAAACTCAGTTGATAAATAATGCTAACAAGGAGCATACGGTGAAGCAAGACCAAAAATTATTGTCCAATGCTGATATAAAATATCATTACCACAGAAATTTTTATCGGTCCACAGCAGGCAGCGCTAATTTCCATTTCCACTTATCTATTATCATTTATTTCGATCAACGACACTTATGACCTTGCAAAGACGAGTATTTCAAAGAAATATTGAACGTCTCAAATGTAATTTTGAGCAAGCTAAGTTTTTAATTTATTTTTTTCCTGAAGTGATTATATATTTTACTCTTCAATTTTGAAATGGGAATACTTCTGTTCATGATACTATGTCAAATGCATACATTCCAAGTAAGGAAAACCTAATTATCACTTTCATTCCTTGTTGTCCATAAGTTTTTATAGCAGCTTCAAAAGATTCTGTGAAATTTGTGCATTTTAAATATCAATGACCTATTAAAAGTGTCAGCGAAACTTTTTGGTTCAGTTTGGTTTCACCGGTCAAGTTAATCCAATACGGTTGATATATTCACATGCAAGTTCTATATTAAATAAGTTGTTTTTGTTTAGCATGATATCAAAATCATTCTTCGACCACACCATCACAATGATTGACCCAAATATTTACGGATCACTTATCAAAGCATATTGTTCTAATTCGAACTCTAGCATATTGTTTACTTCACTTTTACAGCGCACTGCCACATTTATACACTTCACGAATGCCATCTTTACGTAAGTTATATCGACCTATCATTGTAACATTAGCCACTCCTTTTATAGTTGGTGTACCGAAGAAATATTAATTGAATTTGTTTGCATTGGATATTATATTGGACACTAGAGGACTTCTATTTAATTCTTCATATTAACTAGACGACTTAAATCAATTTAATTCTATTTTAAAATAAAAATCTTTATTTAAATTTACATATCGTATTAATCAACCAGAGTTAGATCCAAAAGTTCACGAAGTGCAAAAAACATTGCAAAACAGCTTCGAATGGCAGTTGCAGAAGCGCAGCAACAGTTTCGTGTCACACTATGTGTTTGACAAAATACATTGGCCCGACGCTCCCATGGAGTGTTAAACTGTAAAAGCGTCTGAAGTTATTAACTATATCGTGCATCACTTCTAAATAGTTCTTTTTCTTCTCTTCGTGAGATTTATCATCCTAAGGACAGATTTGAAGGTCTTCCAGCAGTCCAGCTTTTGATTTGGAATTGAAATCAAATTGTTGTTTAATTTATTCTGTCTGCAGTACTTTGCTTATACGATATTACTGTGTCCCGTAGAGTTTTACAGCAACCTCAAATGGCTGTCTTTTTCCAAATATATCCATCCATAACTTGTATTCCAAATTAGGTGTACCGTTAGCGTATTCGGCAAGAGCATCAACCACAGCATCAGCATACCAGAAGCGATCTTCTGTTGTCGGAAAACCTGGAAGTGGAACATTCATAAGCATGATATTTAAATTAAATATTAATGCTCATCAATATTTTGTTGATCTGATTAAGAAATGTTTGGGGGAAAATGTGTAAAGGAAGCTGCTAGTAATTCGATAATTAAAGGTAAATATAGATTCAAACTTTATTTCTTAACTAATAATTTTTTAAAGGCATAAAAGACTTTATTCTGAATAAGTTTAAGAAATGATACACTGAATGATTGCCAATGTTTCTTAATTTATTTGAGAAATTTCAAAATTTGAACTAGTTTAACATGGCAACACTGAAAATAGTGCATCTTTAATTTTTTTACTATTTTTGATGTGGTGATTAGCAGTGGAAAGTTCATGGAATATTTCCGAAGGTGGAATTAAAAAGTTCATAGTTTTTAGGTATTATTTCAAAGCATTTTGCAATAAACTGCTTTCAGATGCAATTTATGCTTGAAGAACTGAATTTTCTGGACTACTAAAAAATAAAAAACTTCCGAATTCAAATCGAAATTGAGAAAATCTCAGATGATGCGAAATTTGTAGGACTGATAAGAGAATCAATGTGCTCATACCTAATCAGAAATCATTATGAATATATTCAGATATCATTTTCAAATATCAGATATCTTTTATTTAACTGAATTTCTTAAAATGAGCACTAGCAGTCAAAAGTGAAACGAATACGTTTTTTGTGTTGCCTAGCCTGTTCGAAGGGTATGAACAGTGATTTATTACCATCGTAGGAAAGTCTCTGCGCTTTTTTAAGATATTCCAGACTTGCGCGTACTTTTTCGTACTCGTGATTCAAGCAAACCAACCAACGGCGTCCTTCCTTGTCAGCCACAAAAATTGGTTGTGTTTGCTGTGGACATTTGGATCCATAATAATGACTGTTAGCATATCCTATTCAAGACGAAGGATTAGAATGATAATTTGTAGTAGTATTCCGACACAGCTGACTATTCCGTGAGTTCTGTTATTTTTAAGAATGGTAGAATGTATTTTGTTTTGATTTAAAAATAGAATTAATGAACAATATTGTGAAGATGAAGTAGTTCGTGATTGATTTCCAGGGAGAATGAAAAAAAGTGATCGAAAGGATCTCTGCTTTTGAAAATCAAATAACTTTTAGAAATACCTCTGGTGAACTTTCCTCGTCTTTCTTTGTTGTGATATGCTGTGTCTGAAAGAAGAACAGAGTTCCTTGGATTTAGATTAGTGATTATCAGATTATGCTATATCATTCAACTTTTGTTAATTATTAGTACCAGAAATTCTGATTCATTTAAATAATTAGAAGCTATTTTCCTAAATAATTAAATAACTTTTATTTTAATATAGTCACTGCTTAAATTGCTCACATGTTCCACTGCTGCAACCGTTACCATTGCTGACAATACCGCCTTGAAGCTGTTTTCGATTGTGGGTATAGTTGCCATTACTACAGTTGTAAGGGACTACCAGAGCCTGTTGTTCCTATGAAAAAATTTTTGGATTGTTTTATTATGTAGTCTGTTTAATTAGGATGATATTTTGAATTCCCAGCTTACCACGTCACTGTCGAATTCAGCAATTCCATCACGATATAATCCAACAAAAACGCCTTGATAATGAGCAATGGTTGGTTCACAGCGACCCAAAATTTCTTTCAAACACTGCAATATTTCAAAATAGATTTCAACTGCTGCTAAGCTGAATTTAATCCATCCATATATTGCTGAATCGACAGATTCTTCCTCAAAAAGTGTTCGAAGGCAACGCAATAACAAATATTTCTGATAGGTCATTTCAAACAAAGTATTGAATTAAATAAACTGAATGAAGTTCCAATTTTATTCTCTTTTATTTGCAAGATGTTTTTAAAAAGACGAGTTTATTGCACTAATATCTATTTGGATGTTGCAACTTATTTAAAAATGAGTGATTAGATATTTTTGAACTGCATACATTGCACATCGTAGATGCAATACGAAATAAAATAAAATAAAAGCACCGAGTTTTGAGTTGGAACTTTGAAAGTTCTTCCACCAAACATGTCTAAATGGATTTGATGTGTTTCATTTGCATGAAATTCAGCTCTTCGTCGTTGTATCTCATTGTTCAAACGCCACGGTCCAATTATTGACGTGTACTGTAAAGGCTTGTTTACTGATAAAGCTTTCACTCACATATGTTAATCTACTGACGATCTTGTTTGTGAATATTTTATACATAATTCACCAACATTCGATTTACGGAAAAATTATCTATTACTTAGTTCATTACATTTTGAGTTATATTTTTAGAATCTCTTTTGACATTTATATAAGAATGAATACGACATTGTTTTGAAGTTAATTAGCTTTGATGCTGGCAAAGTATCTAAGAGTGAATTATATTGCTCCTTTCATGATCTTTTGGATCACTGATGACATGACCTTATAATCGTTGATGATATCTCTCTTTTCATCATGTGTGCACTACTATTCTAGAAGAATTCAGTATTCTTCAAAATGGTATTCGGCCGCGTATTCTTCAATTAAAAAATTTGCATACCTTATCAATAATGCCGTGCTTCAGATTGAATTCACAGATCGCGATTTCAGCAGGAATGCATATGCCATCTACGTTACCATATGTTTGCACCGAAATAAACAAAAATCGAGCTCGCTGAAATATTTTCAAAATGTTTCAGTAACCTTAGAAAGTTCAAAATAGTACTGGCAAATCAGTAGTCCAATGTAATTATATCCCTGTTCTGTTGTTTACCACTGGTATGTGTGAAAAAGAAACCGGAAAATTAAAAACTTCTAATATTGACTCGAATTTCATCCAATCCATTAAGAGTGCGCAGAAATACAAGCACTCGTTTTTTGTCTTTTTCGTATTTCTCTTGGTAAGTACTCCGACTGATACCATTTGCTGTAATTTTTGAATTTAGAATTTTAAATCACAATTATTTCGGTGAGTTCATTTTTCCAATGTAATTCATTTAAGTAAGAGATATTGCTATGGAAAACAACTACTCTTTGCTCTTATCGCTTCTATCCGCTTTTATTTTTTTCATATAGATATTCCTATTTAATATACTTTCTGAATCATAATCTTTTTGATTTAACGGTACACCGATCATTGAATCTTCCGGATAATCGTTTTCATCAAATTCATTAAGTTTCTCATTTTTTGCTCTGTTCCCAGCTTCAATCTTTGCACTGCAATTATTTTTATTATACCTTTAACGACTAAGAAACAAAAAACTAATATTAAGAAAGTATTACAGACAAATTTTTACGTCGCAACCGCTCAATTTTTTTTTTTTTTTTACTTTTTTCCATATATGTTCATTTAATCTCGAAATAGTTTTGAGGAGAATGACAAGAAAAGATGTAAAACTTACTCTTTCACCTCATGTTCGCGTTTCTTTCGTTTTACCAGCATTCTTGGCTGATGCATTAAAGCGAAATACTCCTCGATATGACGTTTCATTTTTGCCCGATCTTTCCATACCTATTTTAAAAACTGCTGAACTATATATATAACTGTTTAATATACCTTCGTGCTTATAACCAAATTTTAGGAATTGTTTATTGTGATATCGTCTAAATATAATCCTTGTAAATGTTGCAGACGATAAGTAGAAAGTTACAATCACTGAGAATTTACACTCTTGAATTAAAAGGATATCTTTACGCTTGAGATTTCTTTAACTTCATCTTAGCTCAACATTTTGAGTAGGTTGCAGGGCACTCACTGTAAGTGGATGCGTTTCATTATAAATAATTGTTTAATATGCTTCAGATTAATCAATTTATCAGGAAAAGGATATAAATTAAAGATTGAAATATCATTCAGCCTCATGAATTTATTAGGTATAAGACCTTTTTTTCTTCACTAGTAAGTCGTTCCCATAGTGGTGTCACGATACGGACCAAATAAGGTGAAATTATATCGTCCTGACAGCAATATCTACGTCCTGCTATTTTGATTTGCAATTCTTGTGCAAACAAGCAAAAACCATTTGTGGAGGTAGCTGACATTACTTCGGCTTTAAACTTTTCTTTATCAAATATACCAGTTTTCTGCAGTATACTATCCAGAGATTTGAATTAATTTAAAATAAATTCAATCTTAGAATAAAGAACATAGAGAAAAGATTCAGAGGGGGAAATTTTGTGAAATAGAACTTCTTAGAGATCAAATTTCTTAAAAGTTTATGTTAATGTCTCACTGTCGAGAAATTAGGGCTTGTTTGATTATGAATAATATCTATTTGCTTATCATGTGATTTTGGAAGAAAACATGAGGATAAGGAAGAATAAATTGAGTAAGCCCCAATCACCATATAAGAAAGTAAGTGATTCGGACCAGTAACATACCGGTCGACAACTGACAACTGTTCACAATGGAACAGTGAGTCAAATTTTATTCTAATCCTTCCATCCATTATGCAAATTTATTCACATATGAGTCAACATGGACTATTCGATGACCCAAATGACAATATTTTACAGATTTGCCAAGGTGATATGCAGAAAGAACATATTTTCAAATTTGCATGAAGCAAAGGCTTTTTTTCCTTTTTTGTTTTGATTTCTTTGCATTTGACTTAGCTTTTTCTTTATGGTATTTTACTTCAATTTGACCACGAAATTTGAGCTCAGTACTTGATAAGCAGTAACTGCAGCAGAAAGTATTAAGTGATGTTGAGACACAAAAGAGCAAATTTGCAGAAGTTTGGGTAGATGTATGAAATATCACACAGTATGAGATGGTTAAGTTGCTAGTTCCAACTATTAGCAACGAATTGATCTACTGATAAAACAAATTTTTTTTTTTATTAAATAATCTTTTGTAATCTCCCAAAAGGCCATTCAAGATCTGTTCCGTAGCTCCATTTTCAGAAGCATTGATGTGTTAATATTTCATTTAAGTTATTGTTTTGGTGCAAATGTCTTCTTTGCGTAAAAATGACAAAAGCTGACAAAGCTTTACTTCTTTGTAATTCTTTTCACGATGAAATATCTACAAAACAGCGAGAGTGCACGAATGTTTCACCGATGTTGTGAAGACTTGTCGAAACATGTAGAAAGAAGTTTCCATAGTCCCTTCAACGACTGCTGACGAAGACAATTCCGATGCCTTGTAATGGTAGTTGTATGTAATCGTTGAAGCTTTTGTACTCGCCGACATTCAAGTAGGTGTTCATCGATTAGCTAGAAACCAATTAATTTCAAAAAAGAGTTTGGTAACTTAGAATTTGTGACTGAGAATAATTATTGAAATAACTGAGCAATACCAATAATAACAAAAATGCCAACTTATCATCGGATTAAGACACAATTCGCCAACTATTGGAAAGGCAAAAATCTAAATGCGTCAAAAAAATCACAACAATAGATTGGCAAAGGAAATTAGTAGATGATGAGAGATACATTAAGTCTAATATTCATTGTTAGTTGTCCCTCATCCTCAACTCCGTTTAATTTCTCCCAAGTGACAGGGGAAATAGCGGCTGCAGCTGCAGTTCGAGCACGAGCAGCTTCAATCATGCAAATGGTGATCGTTGCTTCGTCGCTTACATCGGAATAGAGGAAGCAGAGAAAAGCCAAATCATCTATCAAGTCCACTCGTTCACTTTCGTCACTCTCCCAATGCTGCAAACTTCTCACTTCAAGTTTATTAAATAAAATTAAAGCAATGTGAAGAATATATCTTGAATATCCTTCACATTGGTTAAAAGTCACTAAGTCACTAAGGAGTAAGTTTCATTTCTTCTCTTTTTTTCTCTTAATTCCTTTATAATGAACTCTAACCATTAAGATCACGACCTTAGCAACCTTCGAAATTCAGCGTAAAACATCCGATGAATCATATAAAAAGCTTTCTACCTTGTCAAAGAATGATAAAGATATAGCTAAATATACTGAACTTTTGTATGAAATTTCTTAGTTTTAGGAATGAAATGAATGAGTTCTTGGGATTAAATTTCGAGAAGTTTCATGTCAAGTCACTGTCCAGTATCGATGAACTCAATTATTTGTTCAACTTAATGTTGATAGAAAACTGATGATATCTTTACCTTGGCTGCACATCTCATCAGATCACTATATATCACTTGTATCAGTTTCCAAATGTCCCATCGTGTTACTGCTGTTGTGTCCTGACTATTTTCCTCGGATGACACCAGAAGATTTAGTTGGTAAAATATGTGCAAATATGCATCGATATAAAGAAGTATTGATTGCTTACTGATGCTCCTGCAAGATTAAGAAATATGTCTCCAATGTCTGTTTCTCGGCTCACATATTCACTTGATTATGACTGAATGAATTATTCTGTAACTAGAAATCATCGAGATTTAATTTAAATAACTGCGAACGATGCAAGCAGTACTCATCATCGATGAATTCGCGCAGTTGTTTTGCGCAACATAACAGAGCTGCGCGTCGTACCGCTTTTGTTGAGTTTTTCCTGCCCACTGCTCTCATGGCTTCTTCTACTACTTCCATTCTTTTTTCACTTCCGTTGTACGACTTACGATCGAAAGCAACTACCAACACCGCTGCAATTGCTTCTGCCGCTGACCGATCATCGGAAGTGCTATTGCAGAGTGTGATACGTGTTTGACGGTCCAGAGAAGAAAGTGACGAGTGGGACACTGAAACCGGATAGTATTTGTTTAGTTCCTATTTGACTTTCACTTCGAAGACTGGTGGACTGAAGGATTTCGCATAGCGCAGATGTCCTCATCGACTTTCTTATCTTTCGTTGCATAACTTTATGCATGAATGCTGTCTAAATAATAACTGCTTGAAATTTAGTCAACTTTTTATATGGCTGCTATAGGCTATTCCACTGGCAATTTTTTTTTTTTTTAAACTATTTACATCTATTTTAAGAGGCAGCATAATAAATAGCTGCGTTAAAAAAATTTGAATAAGCACCTCCGATATTAAGAGAAACCAATCACTCACTTTGTTGTACCAGCGCTACTGCTTTTTTTTTTCTGTTTTGAAGTTTCCACTTTTGTTATTAGGATTAAATTCAGTTTCTCAAATTCAAGGATAAATTAGGTGCCACATGTATTTAGTTAATTTAAAAAAATAAAATATACTGACTTGAAGTGCCCACTTTAATGCTTCGATTATAACGTTCTTTGATTGATTGGTTAAATTTCTGAAAATTTGCATCGGGTCTTAGATGTTTTCTGAAATATCGTCACTCTTTTCTAAGCGAATTATTAGAAGCTGAATAGAAGATTGCGGTGTATACAGACCGCTGTTGAATTCAACCTGTACTTCTTATGCCTCTACGAATATTTCAACAGAAACCTCAATAAAATGTAATAATTTATGCAATCTGGCGCTGTTGTGATATTGATGCTGCCTCATTCTCTGCAGAGCTGTAGGCGACAACGGTGTTGTGCCAACGTTTTCTAAAACTGACAGGGCAAATCTCATATCAGCTTCACATTCATTCCGAAGGTTCTGCAAATACTCTGATTAAATATATTATGTAAAGAAGTTAAGGTGTGGGACAAGTTAAAAAATTACTTACTGGTAAAAAAATAATTCTCCTCTCTTCTTTGAGAATTTTCAAATCCAAATTTGACATAATGTGAGACAGTGCATGAATTACGAAAGGATAAATACGACAAGTGGATTTATTCATCCATCAGTCAATCTAATCATAAACTCTTAAACATACTTGTTTAGCCTTACACAATGCAACACAATCTGTTGCAGATATCATAGAATCTTCAGTGAGTACTTTTAAACTGATTTCTATCCATTTGTTTGTTTTCTAAAATCCAGAAAATTTTTCATTATTACTGTATAATATTTGCAATTCACAATAGAAACAATCAAATTCTAGCTTGTTTCAATTCTAGTTCATTCCACTGAAACCATTTAAAGCTGATTGTGAGGAAAATGCAACCTGAATGCTTTGTTGTAAACTACGCAGGTCATTAATTAGTTTTTGATGTTCATTTTCAAGCTCACTCAGAGTTACCAGTTTGTGACCATTGTGTCGATCTACACAACATTTCAGACATATCACACGCTGAAAACATTTCATAACATTTTATGTAAAATAGGGCTGTACAGCTTCTGAAAGTGAACTGACAATTCTTGGTGTAGATGTCTTTTGCTATTTGGAGAAAAAAGGCATTCATCGCTACTAGAAGTGCTTCATCTGCCAAATTTATAATCCAATATAGCAGAAACAAAAGATTATATATAATTGATTTCGCTTTCTCTAAAATCAGTGATAATTTACCAAGCAATCGTCATCATCTTTTTTAGTGTTAAAACAGCCTTCACAAAATCGAACTTCTTTTCGACATCTCTTCTCATTCATTTTTCGGGAACAATCAGTACACTGCATTAGTTGACATCTTTTGGGATTGGAAAGTGATCTCGAATTTCGTTGCCAGGAGTGTAGTCTGGCTGACCTGTTTCTTGTTGAACAGTTATTGTCAGAGACATGAATGACAGTTATATTAGCATCATTCGTGGTTCCCACTTGCTGCTGTTGTACTGTCTCCAATAATTCTGAGTTGTAATAAAATCAAAGTTATTGAAGTGGAAATATGTTACAGGGCTGTGAATAACTGAACTAATGAGCAATAGGCCAAAGGGTAGGAACTGATAATGGAATGTGAAAGATACTAAATAAAGGAAATTAATGCTGTAATGAATAAATTATAACTAATATTCATTGATAAGAACTTTTACTCAGATAACTCAGCTCATCTGCTCACTGCCACTGAAATTTACAAATAAATGATTAAATCATAATTTGTAACAGATTACTTACGGCATAAACGATAGTTAGTAGTAGCAGCAAGGGCTGCTGAGGTATTGAATTCGGTACGGCACGTGGGGCAGTTAATTGAATCCAATAAATAATACTGAAATTTTACACCTCATACTCTGAGATAATCACATGGTTGTCACCATAATTTCTTTACATTCTAAAAGTTGACGAAAAATAATTTAATTGCTTTGGCTCTTAAAATTAAAAAATAAGTGGA